GTGCAGAAAACAAGATGGAGCATTAAACAGAAGGAATCCCTGAAAGAAGGGAGGCAACTGAGATTTGATTGGCCTGACAGAGGAAACCACGTGCTAAAAACATACAGGAGAGGACGTCTGAGAAAGTAGACACAGGACCCTTCCTGGGTGATGGGAGGAAACCAGAAGAGTCCTAGACAATCACCAGGATTAGTCAGAGTCCTAAATACGGAGCAGCAGGGGGGTCAGCACATTCCCCACACCTGGGTCTGTGCCAGGACACTTAGACTCGGGAAGGCCAGTGCCTCTTGGCCCAGAAAATGCCCTGATGACAAACCCGGACACCCCACCCTCTCCCACAATCAATGAGGATAAATATAAAAACAACATCCATAGACAGAGGGGAAAACCTCAGACACAAAGAACACGCAACCAGTAGTCACCAAATACCTCTGAAAAAACAGCACCAAGTAAAAAAAGGCACCGGACACGATCCGTCAGACACCTAAAGATATAAAATGTATATGAAGCAACATAAATCCCCACAGTCCCATGAGGTCCACCAGGGATCAGCAAACTACGGCCCATGAGCCAAATCCAATGCACCCCTTGTTCACAAAATCCTGTGAGCTGAAAATGGTGTAGACCTTTTTTAATGGTTGAGGGGGAAACTGCTTTACAAATTACACGACACGTGAAAGTATTATGAAATTCAAATTTCAGCATCCATAGGCTCAATGAAACACAGACACACAGATTTGCTTGTACTGTCTGCAGCTGCTCTCACACTCTAGTGACAAAGTGGAAACAGATCAGAAGTTCACACTGCTGATGAGCACACTTACAACTCAATGGTGCTGTCACCACTCAGCACTTTCAGGCCATCATACTGTGGGACTGCAACATTGCTTTTTTTGCTTATTACCAGTCCATACTTATCATGCCAAAACAAGTGAACTCAAAACATCACTAATTATTAGGGAAATGCAAATCAAAACCACCATGAGAGGGTCCGGCCGAGTGGCTCAGTTGGTTAAGAGCCCAAGCTCTGAGCAACAGGGTCACCAGTTCAATTCCCACATGGGCCAGTGAGCTGCACCCAAGCTGAGCTGCTACTGAGCTGCCAACAGGCGGCAGGATGGCTCAGCGGGTGAGAGCATGTGCTCCTAACAATAAGGTTGCCGATTGGATTCCCGCATGGGAGGTGGCTATGCCCACCTGCAACTAAGATTCAACACAGCACCTTGAGCTGAGCGGCTGCAAGCTGCCGACGGTGGCCAGATGGCGACTAGACTTGGAGTTGAGCCAGCTGCGCCCTCCACAACTAGGATTGAAGCACAACTTGGCTGTTCCCCTTCCCCAATTCCCCAACACTGCCCCCCTTCCCCAATTCCCCAGTAAAATCTTTAAAAAAAAACAAACACCATGAGCTATCCCCTCACACCTGTCAGATATGGCTATCATCAAAAATAAAAGAAATAGGGGCCGGCTGAGTGGCGTGTTGGTTAAGAACTGGCTTAGGATGCGAGAGGGCCCCGGCTTGGAACCCACATATGAGGGCCAGTGACACTGCCCTCTGCAGCTAAAATGCTGAACAACAGCTCGACCTGCTCGACCATGGGAGCTGGGCTGCCGTGGGTCACCAGCGACGGCGTGGGCTGCAGTGCCCTGCTGCAGTGGGCTGCCATAAGCTACTGTGTGTAGCCAGCAGCCAGCGTGAGCGGCCAGCACCGCCGTGAGCGGCCGTCCAGAAGCTGGCAACTGATCTGCCTCACCCGGGAAGAGCGCAATGATGGTGCCAACTTGGGCCAGTGAAGCGACATCCTCCACAACTAGACCGAAGGACAAAACAACAGCAACTTGTCTGTTCCCCTTCCCCTGATTCCCCAATAAAATATTTTTTTTTAAAACTCAGATGTACTGCAATTTAAAAAAATAATAAAATAAAATAAATAATAAGAGGCGAGGATGTAGAGAAAAGGGAACCTTTGTGCACTGTTGGTGGGATGGTAAATTGGTGCAGCCACTATGGAAAACAATATGGAGGTTCCTCAAAAATTTAAGAATAAAACTACCATATGATCCAGCCAATTCGTCTTCTGGGTATTTATCCAAAGTATAGGAAAACACTTACTTGAAAAGATATATGCACTCCTATGTTCACTGCAGCATTATTTACAATAACCAAGATATGGAAACGGCCTAAGTGTTCATCAACAGATGAATAAATAAAGATGTGGTACATATATACAATGGAATATTACTCGGCCATGAAAAGAACGAACTTTTACCATTTGCAACAACATGGGTGGATCTAGAAGGTATTAGGCTAAGTGAATTAAGTCTGACAGAAAAGGACAAAAAAACTATATGATTTGACTCATGTGGAATATAAAACAAAAAAGTAACAAACGAATGAACAAAACAAAAATAGACTCAGAGATACAGACAACAGAATGGTGGTTATCAGAGGGGAAAGGGGATGGGATGGGGGACAAAATGGGTAAAAGAAGTCAAATATATGGTGATGCATGTAAACTAGACTTTTGGTGGTGAGCTGAGTATACAGATATCAAATAATGCTGTATACATAAAATTTATATATAATGCTATTGGCAACATTACCTCAATAAAAAAATAAACTTCAGGGCCGGCCGAGTGGCTCAGTTGGTTAAGAGCTCGCTCAAGAGTTTGAGCTCTGAGCAACAGCGGTTCGAGTCCAGCCCGA